TTATAAAAGTCAGTAACTAGAACAACACAATTTGTATCAACTGGAGAACCGAAAAAATGTATTCATCAATAGACAGAAACAAATTATTGATGTATACTACAACATAGATGATCCATAGAAACACTGTGCTAAGATAAAGAAGCAAGATGGAAAAACATACATATTGTATACAACCTTAATATGTGGCAGAGGCTAGTCTATAGAGACAAAAATTGTATCACCGTTTGTCTGGACCTGGGAGTAAGAACTGCAATTCACTGCAAAAAGACAAAATGTGTCTCTCCAGGGTGATGGAAATGTCTTAAGACTTATTGCATAATTCTATAAATGTAATAAATCACTGAATTTTATACTTCCAATCAATACATTTTAGGGATGTAATTTCTACTTTAATAAAACTGTTTTAAAGTGTAGGTAAAATAATGGGGATTCCTTATTCCCAAAGCAACACGCAATAAAATCAGTGGAAATATTCACTGGTTTATAAAAGCAAAAATATTTTGCTCATCAGGATTCTGAGTCTCTAATAAACATTTTAACAGTTTTATTGTCTACAGGTTTTGATAGAATATACAACTTGCTTTAATGCAATCAAACACCCAGACCAAAGAAATATTTATCAAGTTTTTTTTTTTTTTTTTGAGACTGAGTTTCGCTCTTGTTACCCAGGCTGGAGTGCAATGGCACGATCTTGGCTCACCGCAACCTCCGCCTCCTGGGTTCAGGCGATTCTCCTGCCTCAGCCTCCCAAGTAGCTGGGATTACAGGCACGCGCCACCATGCCCAGCTAATTTTTTGCATTTTTAGTAGAGACAGGGTTTCACCATGTTGACCAGGATGGTCTCGATCTATTGACCTCGTGATCCACCCGCCTTGGCCTTCCAAAGTGCTGGGATTACAGGCTTGAGCCACCGCCCACGGCCCCTCAAGTTTCTTTTTTAATTAAAATTTTCATCATCTTTTAATGCTAGTTTTGGAAAAACAGTTTTTAGAAGTTACTATTGCAAAAGTATCTTTTTTAAAAAATTCAGCAGACTACAATTATGTAAGTTTTAAGACTGGTTGGAGAATATTTAAGTACTATGGAAAAAAAATCCATCAGTTAATGGATGTGATATAAATGTAGAAATATTCCTACATTTAGGAAGGTAGAAGAAACATTTTTGACATTTATATCACGTAGTACATGGAATATTTCATTACACACATTTAAGGTGTACAACCTGATGTTTTGCTATACACACACAAAGTGAAATGATTTCCACAGGTACATTTTTAGGAATCCTTTAAAATCATTATAGCACATGTGCTTTAAGCCATTATTGCTTCAGCCTCTAAATTAATAAATATCACAGTGAAATTACATTTTAGCTACCTGTGAAAAAATGTGACATTGAAAGCAAAAATTCAGAGATTCTACTGAGGAAAAAGGCTAGTGTTAGAAGTCAAGAAGAAAATTAGGTGAATTTAAAGATATTACTTTTTAAAGATATTACTTCACATACATGTGAAGATATGTATAGAGATGGGTAAACAGAGAGGGAGGAAATATATGCATATATTTACATACACACATATTTATATATAATGTTTTATTCATTGGGTTTCCATGACTCATTTAGATGACCTTGCCTCAAAGAAGTGAGTCTCTGAAAATATAACTTTGAATCCTAAAACAGTGCTGAGAGAGATGAACATAGCAAACAGAAGTTTCTATGCAATAGAAATAGATTCCAAAGTATACGTTGGATTTGATGTTTTATTAAGCACTGGAGGTGTTCTGCCTATAGACAGTTGCAAAGATGTATCTTATATTTGCTTAATGTTCTATGAATCTCAGATGAATCTGCCTCCATCATCACTTCAGATATTCCAATAATATAGTTGACCTTCTATTTAGGTACTAATGTAAGTACTATTTTCAGAGCCATTTCACGTGACCAAACAATAAAAGCTGCTGTATTGGACAACACAGAAAGAAGTAAGACTTTTTATTTGGTTTACAGTCATTTTCACAAGAATATTAGGCTAGATCTCTTCAAATCAGAGCCAAGTGGAGGGTGAAACAGGTTGGCAAATGTATGCAGTATGATGTTTAAAATCCTGTTTTCCAACTTTACCTTGTAGCATATCATTTTGATTTCCAGTTTGTTGTTTTATCCTTGAACAGTTTGGTCTTTAGTTCAACCAAACACTATCTAAATTTAGATGTTAACAGTGATGTCATTGATATATTTGGAAAGTATCTTATTCAAAAGGCAGTATCTTCATAGAAATTTTTGATAAATAGATCAAAGGGATCTAACCTGTCACATATAAAGTGAATCCCTGCTACTTTAAACAAAATGTGAATTTTAGCAACTATCATTTATTATCTCCATTGTATCATAAATGTAGAATATACAGAGTGTTAAAACACAGATACATCAAGCAGAAAGAACTCTTAATAGTCAAGCAAGATGATTCTTTATGAAATGCATAGGAAAAGCATTTTTCATTAAACCAGAAGTACGCATACAATACAAATTGCAATGAAAAGCATTAAAACATTGGTTTGTGAATAACTGCTGACTTGAGAATTAGTGTATTCTGCAAAAATTCTCCCAAGAATTTTCTGTATTACACATCTCCATATTTCCTTTAATGCTTCTACACATTCTGGCCCATATTTAATCTATATTGTGTCTTCCATGTTCTAACCCCTTTACTAAACATCTTTCACAAAGAACACTAAAAAACACCATGTTGCTAATCAATCATTTCCATCCATCTTACATGACGTCTCAGTATGATGTGGCATGGTGATTTATCTTTTCAGACACCCTCATGTCTACCTTCCACTGCACACTATGTTTAGTTGCTTTTTTCTCTTGTCACTGTAGGTACTGCTCTGTTATTAGAAGCTCATCCTTTTTCTACAAATCCACAATGTCACTCAACTATACTGATTCTGGCATTCTTTTCTTTTTTACTCTATAGTCAGCATAGGGAATGCCATTGATCTCCGTCATTTAACTGCCTATATACTTATAATGTTCAAATATTGATTTCCAGTTCTCACATTTTTCCAAGCCTTAAAACCTACTTGTCCAATTCAAGACACATTCAAATATCTTTTAAAAATATACACTTGAAAAGCTAAAACACTTCTAACAAGTAGGTCAACAAACACAAGTTAAAGATCTCCTCTGTCATTCATTAATTGTCTTCCAGTAGTTACTATTTAAATAAATTGTATCACAGTTCATCCAGTTGCACCATCAGAAAGTGAAGTAACATATTTTACACATAGTTTAGTAATTCTAACATATCCATATCCAATGAATGATAAAATCTATGAATTATTTCACCTAAATATATTGAGTAATTTGTTTATTTGTATCTCCTGTGCCGAATTACCTATTATAGAATCCAAAAATGTTTTCACCTTTTGCTAAGACCACTGAATAACATTTTCCAAACTTTTCTTTTTCTACCCGTGAGGCTTAACTTTGCCATACTAAAATCTGACTTGCCATCTAATTATGAGGAAACTTTCAATAGATCTCTATTATCTTTATATAAAACCAACATCCTTAGAATGGCCTACTGCAGCCTTGCATAAATTGTCCCTAATACAATATGCATAGAACAAACTATTATTACTATCAACTATTAACAAAAAATAACTTTTATCCTCAATAAGCATATAAGAAAAGGAGAGATATCACTCAAATAATTCTACAAGCAGATGTAAAATGCAACTGTGACTAGATAAAAAGTCTGGAGAGCTTAGTGAGCCTACAGTAAGGAGGCTTGATATAGGCATATAGGTAAAGGAAGGTTTGACTGTGTCTGAAAAATCTGAGCAGAAATCTAAAGATAAATTAGGAGTTAATTAGGTCAATGAAAAAGACTGCAACATTGACATACATCATCACATTCAATGCATGTAGGAGGTTATTTAGATCCTTTACAAACAAAAAACTATATATTCGTATTATACTATTCATTTATAATTGTTCAGGCTTATTTTACGACCCATATATGGACTTGACTGTTGGGTGTACAATGGGAAAGCTTGAATATTCTGCTTTTAGGTTCAGTGTTCTATAAATTATTGTAAGTGGCTTACTGAAATCTCAACAATGACTATGGATTTATCCATTTCCCCTTGCAGTTCAGTTAGTTTTTGATTCATGTATTTTGATGGTCTCATATTAGATGTTTAAAAACGTTTATGATTAGGTTCATATGATTAATTGACCCTTTATCATTATATCACTTTCTTATTTCTGGTGATAGCCTTTTGCCTAAAAAAATACATATTTTCCTAAATATATATATATGCCCTAGAGTAGCCACTCCAGCATTCATCTAATTAATATTACCATGGCATATTTTTTCCATCCTTTTATTTCATCTGTTTATTTCTTTATATTTCATGTACTTCTTAACAAAATTGTTTTGCTGTTGTATCCAATCTAATAATCTCTGCCTTTTAATGGTATATTTAAGGAATTGACATTTAATGGTGATAATGCATATGCTTAGGCTTACACTTATCATTTTGCTATTTGTTTTCTATTCCCCTCATTTTTTTCTTTGTTCCTTTTCACTTTTTCTGCCTTCTTTTGGATTAGCTGATTGTTTATATTCTATACTATCTCCTTTATTGATTTGTTAGCTACGATTATTTTAGAAGTTTATAATAGTTTTCTATTTTTGTGTAACAAATTATCACAATTTAGAATCTTAAAAACACATTTATTATCTCACAGTTTTTCTACAAGTCAAGATTTTAAGACAGTTTCACTGGGTCAAGGTTTTGCATTCTGCTCAAGGACTCATAAGTTTTCAATCAAGCTGTTAACTGGGTAGCATTATTTTTGATTTGTTTGTAGAAACTTAATCCACTCAGGGCTGCTTGATTGTGGGCCCCACCCACTCACTGGCTATTAGCTAAGGTCAATTTACAGGTACTAAAGGCCATTCACAGTTTCTTGCCATGTGGTACTTACCACAAGCAATTTGCAACATCGTTGTATGCTTCTTCCAGGCCAGAAGGAGAATCCGTCTTTTTTGTGCGTGTGCAGTCGGCTAAGCTTCTGCCATATATGGAAATGGAGGTATGAAAGTAGCATGCTATCCCCCTCTGCCTAGTAAGCAACCTAATTAATAGAATGAGATCCCCATCACCTTTATTGTATTCTATTGGTCAAAATTTCTTTGTACTAGAAAGAAAAACATCACACAAGAAAATGACTCATTGGTAGCCATTCTAAGATGTGTTGGCACCATTCCTTTAGAGTCCTGTACACAGCTTTAACTCATCAGTTCACCTTCAAATGATACACAACCTCAGAGAAACTATACAAGCATATAATTTACTTTTATTGCTTCTCTCCCACACTTTGTGCTACATTTTACTTTTATGTATGCTATAAATCTCACATCACAATTTTTTTTTCTTTAAAGATAGGGTCTCATTCTATGACCCAGGCTGAAGTACAGTGATATGATCAACTCATCACAGCATTGAACTGGGCTCAAGTGATCGTCCCACCTCAGCTTCCTAAGTAGACAGGACCACATTTCACTCCTTTGTATACATTCATATTTGAAGGTAATGTCATTTTTTTCTGCCTGAAAAACTTCTTTCATGTTTCTTGTAGTGTGGATATTACGCTGAAAATTTCCTTCCACTTTTCTGTGTTTAAGAATGCTTTTAGTTAGCCTTCGTTTTTGAAAGGTGTTTGCTGGAAATAGAAATCAAGGCTGACTTTTTTGATTCTTAAGTACTTGAAAGATGTTACTCTACTGTCTTGCTAGTATTGTTCCAACAAGAAATTTCCCATAATCTTTATCTTGTTTCTCTGTGTGCAACATGTGCCCCAATACCCCTAATTACTTCTATAATTTTTTCTTTATCAATATTTTTTAGTTATGCAATTATGGTATAACTTGATGTCATTTTCTTAATATTTCTTGTGTTTGGGATTTGTGAAGCTTCTTGAATATATGAATTCATATTTTTAATCACATTTCAAATTTTTTGGTGTTTATTACTTATGTTTTCTTGTCCTCTCTCTTTGCCTCTCTCTGACTCCACTTCCAAGTATATTATTAAACTGTTAGAAGTCTTACAGCTCACCATTGATTTGTTCATGGAACTTTATTTTCATTTTTTAATATTCTGTGATTCACTGTGCGTAGTTTCTCTAGAGCTATGCTTCACTTTCATTCTGCAATGTTTAATATACTATTAATACCATCTAATTCCATCTATCACATTGTAGTTTTCATCTCTACCAGTCTGATTTAGGTCTTTATTACAAGCTTCATGTCTCTAATTAACTTTTTTTGACAGCTTTTATGACAGCAGTTTCAAGTGTACATTTAGTGGTTTTCTGTATAGAATTGTGCAAACTTCACCATAGCCTAATTGTAGAACATTTTATTTACCCCTTTAAAAGAAACACTATATCCATTTGCCATCCCTCCCAATACTCTCTCAAGCTCTTATCCCCACCAATACCCAGCCCTGGACAAGCACTATAGAAACTTATTTTGTTTCTATAGATTTGTCAAATCTAGGCATTTCACATAAATAAAATAATATATTATGTGGTCTTTTTGTAACTAGCTTCTTGTTTTCAAGGTTCATTCACATTTTAGCATGTGGTAACCATTATTTAGTATGTAGTAACCATTATTTAGCATGTAATAAAGTTCTCTTTATTACTGATTAATACTTCATTGAATTTTGGATTGTTTCTTTCAGGTTTTGTGAATAATACTGCTGTGGAAGTTTGTGTAATTTTGTGTGCCCATGTTTTTACTTGTTTTGGATATATAAGTAGGCATGAAATTGTGACTCATATGGTAACCCTATGTACAAAGCATATGCACCATTTTACATTCCCACCATCAACATGAGAATTCCACTTTCTTTACATCCTTACCACCACTTATCTTTTTCATCATAGTTCTGATTCTTTTTGAAGATAACGAATATAGTTACAATAACTGTTTTAATGTCCTTGTCTGTTGATTCTAATATTACTACAGTTCTGATCAGCAATTTGTTTTTCTGCTCGTTATGTGTTTACTTTTTTTTTCTTTTTACAAACTTTGTAATTTTTCATTGCATGCCATATGTAAATGGTACCTTACTGGTTGGTGAACATTTTTCTACTTCTATAAATACTACTTAAGTTTGGTCTTGTCATCTGCCATGATTTGTTAAGTTTGATCCATTTGGGTCTTACTTTTAAGAGTTAGATGGCACTAGAACACTGACCAGCTAGGACTATTACTGCCTACTAAATAATTACTAAATAACTACTAGATCAAAACTTTTTTGAGGGTACTCTGTCCAATGTCCTATGGATTATAAAGTTTTCCAGCCTGGTTAGTGGAAATATTGACTATTTCTGACCCTCTGTGATATCTATCTATATCTATCTATCTATCTATCTATCTATCTATCTATCTATAGATAGATATAGATATCTATCTCTATCTATCTCTATCTATCTCTATATCTGTCTATATAGACAGATATAGATATTTGAGACAGCGTCTCGCACTGTCGCCCTGACTGGAGTGCAGTGACGCAATCTTTGCTAACTGCAACCTCCGCCTCCCGGGTTCAAGCGATTCTCCTGCCTCAGCCTCCCGAGTAGCTGGGATTACAGGCGCCCGCCAGGACGCCCTGCTGATTTTTTTGTATTTTTAGTAGAGACGGGGTTTCACCATGTTGACCAGGCTGGTCTTGAACTCCTGACCTCGTGATTCACTCGCCTCGGCCTCCCACAGTTCTGGGATTACAGGCGTGAGCCACCGCGCCAGGCCATTTCCAGACACTTTTTTAAATGTTTTGGCTAGTTTCTTGAGACACATACTGCTCAGGACTCAGCTGAAAACTGCAGAACTCCGAGTTCTCTCTGAGCAGTTTTCTTTCTCCTATACTCTGCAAAGAACGTTACCTACCTTGGTCTCCCCAGAGTATCAGTTCTATTTTGCCAACGCAGACAATCCGCTGGGCTCTGTTTGAGTTCGCTGTCCGGCATCACATCTATAAAATATTAATATCCCTGAAAGCAGCCTGTTTTTGAGCTCAGATCATCTCCCGGATCACTATTCTTCGTTACTGATTCCCAGCGTCTTAGAAACAGCCCCACTGTTTGAGTTTTGTTTTTTTTTTTTTTCTGAAGCAGTAGTAGATAATTCAAATAAAGTGTCAATGCTGTGTGTTTCCCCGAAAACGCAAACTCAAGGAGATGCCTTCCCTATTCCGCGTAGAGTGACAAGAACCTCGCGAGGCGCGCGGCGGAGGTGAAAGCCCACTTGCCACTGGCACCGCTTACTGTCTAGCACGCAGGCGCAGAACCCAAAACTACGCCTGCGTCCAGCACCGCCCCGCGACAGTTTGCGAATCCGCGTCTGCCAATTAGAACGCACAATGGTCCTTGATGCACGCCCACTGACCCCCTCAACCAATCGCCTTCCCTGGCGCGAAGTCGACTGTGAATTCAAAGTAAACCTAGGGATTGTGGGAAGGTAGCTGAACGCGGCACCAGGAAAGATGGAGGCGGCAGAAACTGAGGTGGAAGCTGCAGTCCTAGAGTAAGTGTCTGCGGCCAAGTGGCAGCTCGGGGCGGGCCTGGGAGGATATTGTGGGCTCCCCTGTATAACAATTGGTGCCCTCAATCCTGTACAGTTGTTGGGGTTCGACCCTGCCGTGAAGTGATCTTCATTGCAGCCCCGTCTTAGGTTCCCGAGGTGACTGTTGCCTGCTCCAGGAGTAAGGCGGTTGAGGGACCTTTAGCCGTTCCCCACATGCATATACGCCACAGGGTGTGCTCTAGAAGGAGACAGTTTCATTTCTGTCTTCTTGTCCCAAACGACACTTTCCCAGTTGCTTCTCTCTCTCTTTTTTTTTTTTTTTTTTTTTTTGAGACGGAGTTTCGCTCTTGTTACCCAGGCTGGAGTGCAATGGCGCAATCTCGGCTCACCGCAACCTCCGCCTCCTGGGTTCAGGCAATTCTCCTGCCTCAGCCTCCTGAGTAGCTGGGATTACAGGCACGCGCCACCATGCCCAGCTGATTTTTTGTATTTTTAGTAGAGATGGAATTTCACCATGTTGACCAGGATGGTTTCGATCTCTTGACCTCGTGATCCACCCACCTCGGCCTTCCAGTTGCTTCTCTTATCTCCATCCCTGCCCTCTCGTAGACTGCTCCAGTCCCCAACAATGAAAAATCTTAGAATAGACCAAGGCATCCAGCTCTCTGCCCTGAGTCCTTTCTCACCTATTTTAAGACCCTGCCCCAAGGCTACTGCTAAGTGCCAGGAGGGATTCCAAGGCCTAGCATTCTTCCCCTTCCTTGCATATATCTCCCTGGCTTCCTTCACATCTTAACTCAAGTGGTTTCTATGCAGTGAGACACTCCCTCTATAAAATCTCAGCGCTTTCCTCAAACTCCTTATCCTCTATCCCTGCTTGTTTTCTTTTTGTCAGTATTACCACTGTATGCCCTCCATGCATACCATTACTGGTTGCAGCTGTAGGCCCTTAAGGCCTTTCTGTAAACCCTGGTCACTGGAAAATGCGATTTCCTGTGTTTCCTTGCTCCTCCAGGGTCCTGACTGAGGTGGCAGGCATCCTGGAAACTGCAGGCCTCCAGGAAGAGGCAGAACTGTCAACCAAGATCCTGGTTGAGTTTGTGGTGGTATGTACAAGATGGGAGCCAGCCTTTCAGAAGCCAGGGTCTGGTCCTGGCTCCTCTTATTGAGATACAGGACAGCATCAGTAGAGAGCAGACTTTAAGGAAACATATAAAGAGGTAAGGATGTTCCCTGTCTCCACCCTCCCTCTGAGCAGGACTCCCAGAAGAAAGACAAGCTGCTCTGCAGCCAGCTTCAGGTGGTGGACTTCCTGCAGAACTTTCTGGCTCAGGAGGACACTGCCCAGGATCCCTTGGCTTCTGAAGACACGAGCCGTGAGTAAGCAGGGGATAGGAGTAGCAGCTGGCCTGAGTTGGGAAGATAGAATTTCAGTTAGGTCTCCCATTTGGCTGATAGGAAGAAGGAGGCCCAGTGTTGCAAGGAGGCAGTCTAGCAGGCCACCCTCATTCATGTTCTCATTCCTGGTGACTCATTCAGGACAGAAGGCAATTGCAGCCAAAGAACAATGGAAAGAGCTGAAGGCCACCTATAGAGAGCACGTGGAGGCCATCAAAATTGCACTCAGCAAGGCCCTAACTCAGATGGAGGAAGCCCAGAAGAAACAGACACAACTCCAAGAAGCATTTGAGCAGCTCCAGGCCAAGGTACAGCCAAGGGCCTTGAGTAGGGGGAGGGAAGGGCAGTTAGGTAGGAAGAGGGAAAGAGTGAGCAAGCTGAGTTGTGCCAGCTTTCAATCTTTCAGAATTCCAAACAAAAATAGACTTCTTCTGTTCTCTCTCCCTTGCTTATCTGCAGAAACAAATGGCCATGGAGAAACGCAGAGCAGCCCAGAAGCAGTGGCAGCTACAACAGGTAGGTTGATCCACCTAGGAGAGTATCCCTTCTCACCATCATGCTATTGCATGGACAGTGTCCCCTACCTAGAAAACCTTCATTTTTCTTTCTCCTTTGAGGCACTGTAATATAAATACCAACATGGGCTTGAATCTCAGTATCACCACTTACCACTGGGTGACCTTGGGCAGGTCACCTAACTTGTATTTCTTTATCTGAAATGGAGGCAATAATAGCATCTACTCTATAGCGTAATTAAAGTGCTTAAAATAGTACCTGGCACATAGCAAGTTAAATAAGTGTCAGCATCACCTTTGTGCTCCTTCCCCCAAAAAATGCCTCACCCTAGAACAGCTCATTCTGATCTTTCTTTTTCCCCCTACTCCACTCTGAAGTGAATAGAGTCCCTCTTTTCATCAGTGAGTCTGAGCCCTGAGCTGGGTATAGGCTGGAGGGGTTAGGGGGATGGTTCTAAAACCTCAATATCTGATGCATAATGTCTGCACACTCACTCCTGGTAGGAGAAGCATCTGCAGCATCTGGCAGAGGTTTCTGCACAGGTGAGGGAGCGTAAGATAGGAACTCAGAAGGAGCTTGAGGGGGTGTTTCAGAAACTTGGAAACCTGAAGCAGCAAGCAGGACAGGAGCAGGACAAGCTACAGAGGTAAGGCTGGGGGCATTGGCTGCGGATTTAGAATGGTTCAGCTGAGATTCCTTCCCTTCACACTTACCTCCTCTTTGCAGGCATCAGACCTTCCTCCAGCTTCTGTGTACCCTGCAGGGTAAGCTGCTGTTTCCTGAAGCTGCCACTGAAGCAGAGAATATTCCAAATGATAAACCCCAGCAGCTGACTGGACCCGAGGAGCAGAGTATAGGAGACACCATGGGGAGAGACCCTGGTGTATCCTCCAAGGTAAATGAGAGATGGAACAAGTGGGTGTGGGCAGGCAGGTGGAGAGAGAAGCTGGGAGATTGGCCTTATCCACTGTCTATCCTGTATGTCTCCAAGTCTGATGGTCTACAGCCTGCTGGAGATTCAAATTTGCCATGGCTCCCTGGAGGACAACAGCATGGAGAAAGATCCTAGAACAGGTCAGACCCAACTCGGGCCTTGGTGTATTTGGGCTGTGAGTGTGGAAGGAGGGGAAAGCCTGGTTTACCTCTCTCTGCATCTGAGCTCTGCTACCCATGGAGCAGATGAGTGGTGAGAACAGGAAAGAGCTTATGTTACAATTTTAACACCTCTTTCCCATGCTCAGCCCACCCAGGCCTAACTCCTATCTTCTTCTTCCCCAGTCCTCAGTCCTCTGACCCTCCCCCAACACACACACACACAACCATCATTGCAAGAAAGACCGTGAACTCCTGAGTTCAGCCCGATTTCTGACTACAACCCAGGTGGGAGAAATTCTGGCATCTGTGGATTAAAAGCCCTGGATCTCTCTCAGTGGCATATTTGTTTCTTCATCTTCATATGCTGGCAGGCAGAACTGTTAATACAGATACTAAGAAGCCAATAACATGACAGGAGCTGGGACTGGTTTGAACAAAGGGTGTGCAGATGGGGAGGGGATACTGACCTTCTGCCTCAGTAATTGCTTCCTTCTATGATGCAGACATGCTGAATTTAATTCAAGGTAGAGGAGATTATTTTAGGCAGGTGGTTATATGCAGGGAAGATAATTTATTCACTAATCCAAATTGTATTCATGGATCCAAATGTTTGTTGAGTCCTTCCTTTGTGCTAAGGTTCTTGCTGTGAACTAGAGCTCTAACAGTGAGCTCATCTGACCCTTTTAAGATGTATAGCCTAGTGTTAACATTCTTGGTATCTTTTTGTGCCTTATCTAAAACATTTCTCGATCACTGTTTTCAGATGTTCATTTATTAGTTTTTTCAAAGAATCAGAGCTTGGCTTTTGTCATCCACTGTTGTATGTTTTGTTTCATTGACCTCTAGTAATACATCGATCATTTCCTACCTTCTGTTTTCAGATGGATTAGATGTACCTTTTCTGTAAACTCTTATTTTTATCAGATGATCAACTCATGTATTTGGATCCTTATTTGGGTTCTGAAATAAATATGTAAGGCTATACATTTCTTCTGACTTTATTTTCACAATCATTCAAAGCATTTTCTATTTTCTGTTATAGTTATTTCATTGATTCATAAATTTCATTGAAAAATAATTTGGTATTCTATTTGTCTGTGGGAGGATAATCTAAGTTTATTTTAATTTGATCAGAGAATGTCATTTACATAACAAACTTTGAAATTTGGTGAGTGAATTATAGCCTTGATGTGGTAGCCTTTTTTAATGTTTCACATGAGTTTAGAAAGAATGCATTTTAGATTGTGTGTAGTGTTTCCTATTAGATTATGTCTGTATTTTTTTTTCAATTTATATCTTCTATATTTTGTGGTCTGAGTATCACCTGAGAGAGGAATGGGACAGTCTTCAGCTAAGATAGTGGATTTGTTCATTTCTCTTTATAATTCCATTTGCTTACTTACTTTGCTTTTTGCTATTAAATATTTTGCTTTATACTATTAAAATATTTACATATTTTTACTTTTTTAAGTTATATATAATTTTATATTTATATCTCTTTTCTGAACTGAACTTTTACCTTTGTATGGTAGCCTACGTCATCTCTAGACTACTGTGTTTAGCCTTGAAGTCTATAGTTTTAATATTATTTAATTATTAATAAAATTTAATAATTATAATATTTATTTAATTATAAATAAAAATTAATTTAAAAAACTATATTAATATAACTTTGCCAGTTGTTCTGGTTACTCTTTGCTTGAGATCTTTTTGCTTGAATTTCCATCCTTTTTTAATATCAACCTTACTTTATATTTACCACTTGTATACAGCATTTAAAATGTTATTTTTTAGAAATTCAGTTTCATGTTTGTCTTTATGATTTTGTAGTTGTGTCAATTTTTTATTTTCTCTCTCTTGGTTTTTTACTTATCCCTTTCGTGTCTTTTAGTTTTATTTTTTATTTTATTCTCATGCTTTTTTTGTTGTTGTTTGTTTAGAAGGTCTTGTCTGCTAGTTCAGCTTTCATAGTTAACAATGTCTCGAGTCGGGGTCCGCAGTAGCTCCGGCCAGATGTCGTGGCACTTGCGGAGGTGGGGCCATGAGTTCAAGGCCAACCTGAGCAACCTTAAAAGCTCTCATTGATTGGCCAAAAAAAAAAAAAAGTCTCGAGTTAAAGAATTATTTAAATAATCTTGATCTTTTTTTAATAAATGAAGCCTAAGTAGCTATAAGCATTGATAAATTATCCCACTCTAAACTTTTAAGGTATTTTTGTCCGGTTTATTACTTCTAGCCTGTTTGTGTTCTCAAAAATTAATTTTTTAAATTATTTTATGTGGTCAGTGCTTTATTTATATTTACTAAATTTACTTACTATTTTTGCCCATATCATTTTTACCTTCCAGAGCTTTTATCTGAAATACTTTTCCACCTGAAGTAAATGTGTCAGAATTTTCCTTAGAATTTGGAGACTGTATAATGCTTTAGTTTTTCTTACTATGAAAATATTTTTATTTCGTTCTCATTCTTGAGAAATGTTTTATTATGTAGAGAATGCTTGGTAGGCAATTTGACTTAATACATTGAAGATTAACTCATTGGGTTTTGTTCATCTGGTATTGATCCTTGTTGATGAGAAGTCAGCTGTCAGTTTAAAAGCCCTTCCTATGAACTTTTTTACCCACTGGGTGCTTATAAAACCTTCTGTACTTAGTGCTTTATCATTTTACTATATTGTGAATAGTTGGGGATTCTGGTTTACTTTTTTTATTCATTCATTCTGCTTGCAATTAGTTGGGCTTTCTGTATCTTAAACTGCCACTTTTTCAGCAATTCTTGAGTATTTTCAGCTTTATCTGTTTAAAAAGCACTCTTAACCTCTTTTGTATTAGCTTCTTCTAAGATACCAATTAGACATCAATTAAATTTTCTTACATTTTTCTTCATGTCATGTAAACTTTCTTTTGTATTTACCATTGCTCTTTCTCTTTAGATTGCATTCTAGATGCTTTTCCTAAGTCTAATTTAACTTTATATAGCCAAGCTATTGTTTTTTCATCAATTTCTTGAATCTTTGATTTGTATTTCAATAAGTTGTATTAGATCTTAGTTTACTACTTTTTTTGGATGTTTTCTTCTGGCTTATATTTTAAGCTCTTTACATTTTTAAGTTTTTTTACTACATACTAGGTATATATATGAGCTTTTTTTTTTAACCTTAAACATAATATATGGACACTTTATCATTCTTTTGGAATAGTTTATAATATGTAATTTTATTGACCTATCTCTCATACTCTTTGTTTAATATAATTCATGTAGTTTCACTTTGAGTTGCCTAATGTTTTTTATATCTGTGTGCTATTGCATTTTTCATTTCTGTTGTTTATTTTCTCTCTTTCTTATTAGTGTTTCCCAGAGGCTTTTTTTCTACTTTGCATGTCTTTGAAAAGCACAGGTGTCAGCATTGTTATCTTTAATGTTGTTTTTCATACGTTCTTTTAAATTGTTTTGTCTTTATTATTCCCTTCTGCTTTATTTTTTAATATTTGTATGGTTTTTAAAAATTAATATTTGATAACATGTATGTATTCTTTCACATATTCCAACAAATACATTTACATATTTACATTTTTATTTGACCACCACTCTGAGATTATCTCATATATTTTAATACATAGGCCATTCATTATTTCTAAATAGATTGTAATTTTAGTATTGATTTTATTTTAAATCAAGGAGGTTTCCTTTGCTGCTTTTGCCTCTCAAACGTACTTGGAATAGTGTTTAGTTCCTCTATGGATTTAAGATAATTTTCTTTGTTATTTTTAATGCAGGAAATTTTACTGCTTACAGTAAATTTTACTCATTTCTTTTAATCCATTTGCTTCAAATGGTACAACATCTGTGAATATTGTTACTTAAAATGTATTGGTAACAATATACTGTTATTTCTCAAATGGTATGACACCTGTGAATATTGTTACTTAAAATATATTAGTAACATAGTATTTGTATATGTGTAGTCATGTATGTTTTTATAGGGAAGAGATTTTATTGTTTTTGTTCATCACTAAACCCATAAGTTCAAGGAAAACCCTGATAGAGGGGAGATCTGCAAACATGGGTAAAAATGTAATGTAAATGGTTGACAAAAAATGAAAAAGGAACACAGTGCATATGTAAGGTATTCCAGATTTTTAAATGTGACTTGGAAGTTTGTATGAGATTTCACAGAGGTAACATCCAAAAAAGCATTTTACTTATATATTATGACTTCTATTACATCTACCTTTTCTGAAATAGCATTTTTTTCTGACAAGGTTCTAATCATTAAAAATAATTTAACACATTGCATTCAGTATTTCTGACCATTTCTATCCAACCAGTTGCTAGGATCAGTTTCTTAAAAACATGGTGAGAGAGAGAAAATTTGTTCAGAGTACCATCCTACAATTCTTTGTTAAGGTCTTCTACATTTATGTGACTTATTCCTATCAGGTAAATATTCTTATTATCCCAGATAGTGTAACCAAAGCTAGTACTGCTCATTCTGTCTGTACAGTTTTGAAATTTATTAAACTAAAGTTTCCTTTCTAATATTCTCCCCTGCCATAACAAGATGGACACTTTCTGCTGTTCATTGTTTCTTGTAGTGCTAAACTTGTACTTTTTGCAGCAGTGGTGATCAGTGAGGGTTTTGAAAATCTCTAAAATTAAGTGGTTTACTTCCCTGTGCTACCAGTACATAGTAATATAATATTAGGTTTATATATTTTATTAATGTATTATTTTTATAAACTTATTTTTCCAAAGGGTAATAAAATATCTACAAACTACGTTAGTGATAACATCTGAGAAGTTTCTGCTAACTTTGAAAATGCCATAACTATTTTCAGACAGTGTTAATTTTCTCCCATTGTGGAGCCTTTCTGAGGTTAATACACCTCATTTCTGCCTTACAGTTAGAACATTGGGCTTTGAGGAACTTCCTATTTGAGTTTGTAATTCATTAATTAAGAAACATGCCCGACTGA